GGCTTCCATCACCCCTCTGGGTAACCTCTCCCCATGCTTTATTACACTCACTGGTGAATTTTTGGGTGGTTTTTTTTGTTTTTAAATTGCCTTTTGAAATTGGCCCATGCCTAATGGCACTGAAGACTGATAAGAGAAGAGAAACAAATGTTTTATTAATGTTTAGTATGCGTATATACAGTACTTTGAAACTGTGCTGAAAGTGTATATTTTATTCATTTAAAAAAACTTAAAAGGAGTAAATTCAGAGGTAGTATGTGCAGAGTTCGTGTTGGGCATGCTCAGATAAACACATCCTCTGAAGTGCTCTGTATATTGGCAACATTGTTATTTGGCAAATGTGTATGTATATATAATATAAAGGCTTTTCCAGAATACAGAAACTACTTTGAAAGCCAAAGGGTCATCAGTGCAGATCTTAATGGAATGGCTCCATCTAACTATGTAGTGGCTCTGTCAAATCTATCCAGTATTATGATACTGATATTTTTTTTAAATGAGACACCAAAAAGTCCTGAGCACCCTCCATCTCCCCCTTAAATCTCTGATTTATTTGTGGTCCATGACATGTAATAAAGAGGAGAATCTGTGCTTCTCTTAATTGTATCTTGCACTGAGGAAGAGGATGACGTAAAAAAATGTCCAAGCAGGAGCCTTTCCATTTGTAGTGGAAGATTAAACTATCTGAACACTTAATTGGGCTTAAATGCAAATCAGCCCTTTTCTTCTGGTTCCCTTACTAATATATTTAAATAGGTTGGGCATACCATACCAACATAACTCTTCAAAATACTCCTGGATGTTGAATTCTGGTAGTCTGCAGGTAAAGAGCTTTGCTTGAATTTCCTGTACTCAGGTTACTGAGGATTAAAGATTTTGCTGCTGGTGTGCATTTCCTGTTGTGATAGAACCTGCATTAAGTATTGTGTGTGAATTGGGCATGGGCATGCCATAAATAGGCTGTTTTATTAAGTAAATTTTAGATCACAAAGTTCTGGCTTTCAGATTCTAGCCAGTGTTTCCAAGAAGTGTACCAACAAGTTTTTATAGAGTTAATAAACTGCCTGTGAATATGTAATGGAAATGCTGACCTTAAATGTCTCTTGGGCTCTATGAGTGTGAGAAGAGCAGATGTGTGGAAGAATGGTTAGCCTTTTAGAGACCTGGATGGGATACTAGAAACACATTAGTGCGCTGAGTGTACAGCACCAGAAATGCATCTGGCACGTGGAAAATAAGTCAGTGAAGGTGACTGAATGGTTCTTACAGCTGGCATAGCACTACTGTTAGTTGTATTCATGGTACATAATCATAGAACTCAGTATTCTTGATTTTCACTTCCAACAGAATTTTTTAAACTCCAGTAGCTGCCCTGAAATTCAAGGTTTCTTGCACGTCAAAGAGCTAGGTCGGAAATCATGGAAGAAATTATATGTGTGTTTGAGGAGGTCGGGACTCTATTGCTCTACGAAAGGAACTTCAAAGGTAAGAAGTGGGGGCTTCAATTTTAGTACACTCTTGCCATGTAAAGTAAAAAGCCTAATAACTATAGATTTAAGATTAAAATTCTCCATTCACTTGTATGAAGAATACAAAAGAAGTTGAACTAATTCTGGCCAGGTAGCAAACAAGGGACATTAGCAATCCAGAGCACTGTGACTCATCCAATCTATATTTATCTAGTATTATCTTTTATATGTAAACTTAAGTAGCCAATTTTTAAAATGTTTTATCCCTCATCACCACATGTATAGAGTAAACATTTGGTTCATCAACTTATGAGATTTTTTTAGGAGTTAGGTAATGTCTTAAGTATCGCTAACCTTGACTTTTCCAAACTTATCAGAAACAATGCAGGTATGTTGTGGTCAACAGTACTCTTGAGCATGATTTGATATGCCTGAATGTGAATCTTTGCATAAACCTCTGGCAAGAAGATATTTATAAAGTGAGTTCCGTTTTTCAGGGCACATCCCGGAGCAGTGCTGGCCTTAAACTCCTAGTTAGTCTGAGCAGATCTGGTCAATTATATGGTAAAAAATACATCCTGAATGCTCGGACCAAATCAAACTAAATTTGCATACTCTGTCCTCTAATGAATGTTGTTCATTAGAGATTGTAGGGTTTGGATTGAAATGTTTTGGTGATTTTAATCTTACAATATGTTTACAGGAGCCAAGACATTTGCAGTTGTTAGCTGACTTAGAAGACAGCAATATTTTCTCGTTGATAGCAGGCAAGAAATTGTATAATGCTCCAGCAGACTATGGATTTTGCATAAAGGTAATTATTCCTAATAATTTGATCCCAAGATGAAAATGAAGTCACTAACTCTCTTATTTTAACAGAGTAAACATTTACATGAACTCAAGTAGTCTGGGTGAGTTCAAAATTATTTATAATAGTGTTGAGAAGATGGGGAGTGGTTCAGCACAATCTGAACCAGAGGAATGCAGCTTTCACTGCCCCGGGCCCCAGCTTGTGAATTACTACCACAATGATCATGTCAGAATGATCCTAGGAAGCTAAGTTCACTTCAGTGTCTAAGTCAGTGTAATTTTCAGACGACCTGACAAAAACCACCATATTTTTTCCATACTGGATCCTCTGCTGTAGCTGGCTTGGGATCTTAACATTGTTATTCTGTGGTTCAGAAGCTGTGATGTGAAAATGATGCTAGAGAGCCCCTTGAGCTTTAGAGCAGCAGGCCTGGTACATGGTGGGTTACACATTGACCTTTGTTCCAGACATTAACAAGCAACCTCTTTTATTTTTATTTGTGTGTGTGTGTATGTTAATTTTTGTGAAAGGAATACTCATCAGGATGGTGAGGAGTGACATAGCATAACAGCAAATGCCAAATTCTGAACAGATTTATAATTGTATTAACATGACAAACAGCTTGTTTGCCCATATTTTAAAATGGAAGTTACTCTGAGAAATGGAAAACAATATATGCAGATGTTTGTTTTCTTAAACTGGGCCCAATCTGTGCACAGCTTTTTGTGCTGTGCCAATTGTGCATACTCTTGGGGACACAGTTGCTATATCTGTAGTTAAATTACCACAACATCTCCCATGGACACAAGTTACACTGGTGTATAAAAATGTCTATGCTGGTATAACTATACTTTTATCTTCAAAGAGGAATGTTATACCCACATAAGCCACTTTTTACAACTTTTCCACAGAAGCAGTTGTACTGCTGGAAAGTTAACTAAAAATGTATGGCTTTCCTATGTAGACTTGCCTCAGTGTGCATTGATCTTGCTGTTTGGGTAATGTTTTCAGAAGCTCCTAAATCCAGTCATCTAAATCACTTCTATAGCACACTACTGTGTGCATTCACATGACAGGCTCTGGGAGCTGCTTTTATTGATGCTCTACAAGGGCTAAAGTGGACACTGAAGAACAGTTGACAGATATGAACTGTTCTCTTTGCTAGCAAGGATTCTGTAGCTGTTGCCAGGGATCCTTCAAAGGATGTATTTGGGGGGTGGGGCGAGCTCAGCCTAGAAAGCCATTTGTTCAGGCACTGAGAGGCAGAGCTCTATTCCCTCCAATAAGACAGAGAGGTAAATAAGACAATATGTATGCAGCCTGCCTTCCTTTACCTCCCCATGCCTTTACAGGGGGCTGTCATTCTTAGTGTTTTTTGCCTGTGGAGGTATAGGCAAGCTGTCTTTTGCAAGCAGTTCCAACACTAAAACTGCTGCCTTCGTGCCATCTCTAGAGGGGACAGCTGGAGCTGTTAGTGTGGATAATTACCAGGTAAAGGAAACCCTTAAAAACAGATTGGGCTTTAATTATCCACAATCATCTACATTTCAAGTGTAGGTGGTGAGAGCAACACTTGTAAATTAATTAATCACAACGTGGAGCAGCAAGAATGCAGAAAAGCCTCTAAACTGTAAGATAGTGGTTTTAGGGAAGATGTGTGGGGAAGGTCCAGGGCTAAGTTCAAGAGCTCCACATCCAGTTCTGCAGACTCCCTGGATGACTTTGGAGAAGCCACGTCATCTTCAATATAGTTAGGAACAAATAAAACAACCTTCTGCCTCAAGGATGGGGAGGCTTAATGTACTGTTGTTCTGTGTTATATGTTGCTAGAGCATGGCGAAGCTGTCTTTTACAGTACTCCAAAATGTGTCAACACTGAGAATGTTCATAATTCTACAAAAATATAGCACTGTGGAGCTGGCTGGAGAGCAGCAATGGCTGCATACATGTTCATTTCTACCAGAAGAAATTTCTTCCAGTAGAAAAACAGCTTTAAAGCAGCTTCCAAACTGTACAGCTTCCACACTATACAGACATTCCTCTAACCCCAGGGCAAGTTCTTCAGCCAGGGGGCACTAGAGGGCTGGTCCCTGTGCCACCCCTGCACTTAAGGGAGCTCATTACCTGATAGTCTTCCATCTCATCTGGGAAGGGTAAAGAATGTCAAATGTCAGTTGGCAACTGCTAACAAGCAGGAACTGCCAGAGACATCCAGGGGGGATTCCCACCCTGGGAAAATGCTCCCTCCCCCTGTTCCACCAATCACCAGTTTAAGGAGGGGAGGTGAGGGCATTGTCTCATGGTGGGAATTGGTCAAGGTCACCTCAGAGGTGTGCTGAGCAGCCAGGAGGTGCTAGCAAGCTGCTTTTTAACTTCCCACTGGGAGCCTATCAGGGAGCATAATCACCATGAACGATGCATGCCTCTGGAGGCTGGTGGGGCATGGTGACCACCTGCAGGCAGCGGAGTCAGTGGTGAGGGCATGGTAGTAGTGAGCGGGGACTGCCCACAGGCAGCCACAGTGATGTCGGCAGCGAGGGTGGGCTGAGCAGGGAGCACCCGCAGGCAGCCACAGTGGTGTCGGCAGTGAGGGTGGGGGTGGGGGTGGCAGGTGGTGAGTAGGGACTGCCCGCAGCCACTGTTTGCAGTGTTGGTAATGGCGAGCAGGGACCACCTGCAGCCACCACCGGCTGCATCGACAGCAGGGAAGTTGACCGCCCACAGAAGCTGCTGGTGGCCTCAGTGGTGGCCAATCTCGGGGGGGGTGGGGACATGCCCACCTGTGCCCCCCCACATGTTGCCTATACTAATCACTGACAGGCTGCTCTCTTAGGCATGGCTGTCAGTGATCAGCAGCTCTTACCACTATTCTTGCGGTAGAGGTGGCAAGGGACAGAGCTGCCATAGCCACCATGGGAACACTCAGAAGAGCCCTTATTCCTGCTGTGGCTGCAGCTGGGTGAGGGAGGGAAAGTGGAGGAGCATTGTGGGATGCTGGGGTTGAATCTGTTGTTTTGATAGACATCCAGTGCTTTTATATTGCCTGTGCTTCACTTTACTAAGAAGTCCATTTCAAATGCTGTTGTTCTGATACTAAAAATACTTGACGTTTTGTAGCCCAACAGAGTGAGAAGTGAACCTAAGGAGCTGAGATTGCTGTGTGCAGAAGATGAGCAGAGCAGGACATGTTGGATGACAGCGTTTAGACTCCTCAAGGTACCCACTTTCTCATGATCCGCGTTGGCCTTGCCCTTCAATTTCACATGAGGTTTTAGCTCTGCCTTACTACGTTTGGGTAGCACTGTGATGAAGCATTCTTTGCCTCCTCATGCATGCTACCAAAACTGCAAGCAGTGTTAACTACCCAAGTGTAGCATTGCAAGCAGACTAATTAATTCTGCTGGTATATAATTCAGTTAACCTTCCTGCCCATAAACCTGCCCTTAGGTGGTCATGCTGCTTTCACTTTGGAAGCTAATACACACAAAACAGGGTGGTATGCTTCAGGGCACTATTGCTGTCCATAGCGAGCAAGCAGCAGATGTTGATAATCTAGTGTTTTCTACAGCATTGTACACAGAATACAAGTAGATATTTTCAATTACTGTTGGTTACTTTATTCATTCCCAAGCTCCTTTAAAACTTGTGTACCTTGAGTTCAACTGCATTCTATAGTAGGAACTTCCATTTCAGAGGTAAACTATCAGGCAGACTATTATAAGCCTGAGTGTAATCAGAGACTGCATTGTTCTCAGTGCACATATGAACAAAGTATAAGCCCAGTAAGGCAACACGTGAAGTATAAGTTTAACTCAAAAAGCAGCACAGTTGTTTGTTTTGAACATAATATGTCAGCACAATCTGTTTATTCAGCGGCTGTCTGCTATAGTTTTTGTTTTGAATTCCCTTAGGCAGATACGTGTGTTTAAACCTATGGCATTTTCTTGTAGTGTTGTTGTTCTTTACTTCAAAAAATAAATAAAAATCTGGTAACTAGCTGGGTCATGATGGTACATAGCAAAAAGCTGGGGGAGAGATTTTAAACTGGTAGAAGCATGTGTACAATATTGTAGTATACTTTGGAGGGAACTTGTACTGGGGGCTTCTCAAGTGGAAGTTCTGATGGATGCAGGTGTATTTTGGTGTCTAATATGAAAGAATTCTCTGTGCTGGTCTAGCAGGGAAGCAAAGACTGCTTTCTTGTCTGTCTGATTTGAAAGTTTTCCAAACCTCCTTAGAGCCTCCACTGTCTGAAAAGGAGTCTTGGCTGTATTATCCATGGAATGCCTTCCTTTCCTATTTGTGCCATTGCTCTCGCCCTATATGCTAAAACCACACGTTGACTATTTCCCACAACAGAGGAAGGACATGAAAGACATCAAGTCCATCCAGATGGCATGTTTGTAATATCTTTCTATTAGGTTTAAATTTTCTGAAGCCAGCAAGTGGCTTTTTGGACAGCCAGTGTTGTTAACTTGGGAACCCACCACCTGAAATTTTGGCCTTTTTCAGTACCCTCTGAGAATGCATTCCCGTGTTTCTAGTTACTGTGTTTAGTGACTCCTATTTGCACATTCACCAAGATGGGGGAACTCTGTTCTGAGGATAGACAATGTCCTGTACACCTAAGATTGAACAGGAAGTTCGGGATCAACTCTAGTAGTTGTGGGAATGCATAAATCTAGAGTGGAAATCCCATCATCATAGCTAAATTAGCATTATAACTTTGTAGTCAGTTCCTATCAAGGAGAGATGCCCTCCACCTCTCCCCCCGTGAGAAATGGAGGGAATTTACCAAAATGTATGTCAGTGAGATGTTTTCTGTGGGATATTTGCCTTATTGTTCAAACTTTTATTCCCCAGACTTGCTCACTTTCAAAAGTTTGACTCCCTAGTTTTTAGTCCTAGCTATTCTAGGCCTATGCGTACAAAACTGCAGCTTTTTTGAGTATTGCCTGTCCTGCAGTAGCATTAAGCTCTCATCTTCCAAATCAAAGCATATATGACTGCTTGCCAACTTATCTAACTTACTAATCTTTAAGAACAATTCTCTGTAAACCCCAGTACAGAAAATCGTTTTTCTGTTTAAATGGATATAATACAAGGTGTACTAGACATAATACAAGTACAGTCCACAATGCAAGAAAAAAAAAAGCATCTTAGTTATAAAACGCATATGTGAGTTATGTAGAATTAGCATTTATTATCTGCCATCATAATTCTGCCCCCAGTTCCTGAAGTGGACTCTGATCAGCTAAATGACAATGTTACATAGTGTTAGATTTCACTGAAATACTGAAACTTGAAGTTCTACAGGTGCTATCTGTTTTCTTGTTTAAATTGCTTGCTAAGAAGTAAATGCTTTCTAAATAGCGGATGCACTTCTAAATAGAGGTTCTCAACTTTGTTCCATTATTGCTACGCATATGGAGCTGTTCGTCTAAGCAGTCTGCCCAGAGAGAGAGAGTATATCGTAGAGGTGCAGGACAGTGTTTTTCTGTAACAAGGCCCTAAGTGGCCAGGTTTGGTCGTTTAAGTGTCAGTGACACAACTTACACTCAGGTCGGCCTCATAGCCATGTGTATATGGATAACTACGTAAGCACACGGGCTGGATTTGTGTGGCAGCCACCCAGGGGACGTATGCAGGCCCTTCTGGCCATGTAGCAGCCTTAGACAACTGAAAATACAATTGATCAAAACTAATTATTATTTAACTAGACCAGGGGAGGGACCTCATATGTTTTGCCCCTAAATAGCTGAGTAGCTAATGTACTCTCCTGACAAGTGAAAGGAACAGAGTTTTAATCCCCGCTCACCCAGAGAGGGTTTTAACCTATATGTCTTTGACTTCCCAACATAGCACCCAAACACCACACCCAGGTCGGTCACTATCTGGTCCTTTCTCCAGCACCTCTTTTGAAACTGCCTCCCCTCCAGGCAGCCGCAAAAGGGAACACACGTAGACATGTACAGTCAGAAGCAAGGGAGCAAGCCAAAGAGTCTGTGGCTCAGTGCGATGACCGCTGCCAAAAACGGCAGGAGCCCTGGGTTCTAACCTGGTGCCTAATTTCCAGCGGGACAAAAACTTACGCACACACAGCACCTTCCATTCCTTTTTTCCAACATCTATGTGAATGTCTCAGCTTCCAAAGGAGCACAAGCAGAGACCTTGGATAATGGCTGACCTGGGATGTTATAGTTAGATTGCTGTGCTGTGAAGTCAGAAAGACCCCAGTTAAAACCCAAGTTAAACCCCCCTTTGGGTGACGGGGAACCAAGGTCCTCTGGCCTCCCAAGTGAGTGCCCTAGCCACATAGCCATCAGGGGAAAAGCCAACCAGGCTTGTTGTTTCGCATCTTGTTGCCAGTGCATATGTTTGTTCCCAGTCTGTGCATGCACATAGCTGTCCACGCACACAGGGCTGCATATCCATCCTGTACACATATGGTATTTTCACCACTTAGCCAGGGTCTTCTAGAAAACCCTTCTGGAAAAGTACCAAAAAGCTCTAGGATGATAACAAGAGCATCAAAGAACAATGAGGGAAAGCCTGGACAAATACCAGCCTGCCACAGAAATGTATCATTAGCAAACCTACAATCCCCCAGCCAGGATTTGGCCTACTGAGGAAGATTTGGTCTTCCCTGAATCTCATCCAGACACTTCATGAAAAATGTGGACACCTACTCCATAAATGGAGAATCAAAGAGAGTCCAGGTTGTGATTGTGGTGTGATTTTTTTCAGATATTGCAACACATTGTGAACAATTGCCCAATTGATCATTTAATGGCAATCTAAAATCAATCCATGCAGCTAGTCTTAAGCAGTCAAATGGTTATTAAGTTTGGATATTAATCTTTGAATGTTGTATGAATCTTGTAATCTTAAAATGTCATATAAAGGATAGAGACCACTTAGTCAAAATTGCCATATCATCAGAAACAGTACACAGCCAGGAAAGAAGGGAACGTCACCCCTGAGGTACTGTTTCATGGTTAGGTGTAAACATGCATTCCAGTTGTTTTATAGGAATTGGCTTTCCCATATTCTGTACAGCAACAAAATATATATTACAAAGATTCCCATGCACTACATCGCATAAAATTAAGTCTCTTCTGTACTGTGTGTTCATGTTTAAAAAAAAATTTAAAAAAAGACTGCAGAGCACTCCAGTCTGGATGCTGCTAAACAGGTGGTGCCTTGACCTTAACTGCACACCCTCCTTTCTATTTGCTATGTGAAGTGGCACTTCATGATCAGGCTCTGTGCTTTGTTTGCAAAATGATATACCATTTATAACTGGACCTTTCAGAAAGCAGTTTGCATAACTTGTAGCAATTTTATCATGTCAACTGCTGTCTACAGTCATACCTGAATGCATATGCAGTGTTGTCATGATCGTTGTTTAACATCATTGTACTTCAATGTCTTTCAAAGGAGAGATAGCAGTGCAGTAGATCTATACTTCTTGTTGAATTAACATGTATCATAGAAACATAGAAAAATAGGGTTGGAAGGGAGCTCAGGAGGTCGTCTAGTCCAACCCCCTGCTCAAAGCAGGACCATCCCCAACTAGATCATTCCAGCCAGGGCTTTGTCAAGCCGGGCCTTAAAAACCTCCAAGAATGGAGATTTTACCACCTTTCTAGGTAACTTGTTCCACTGCTTCACCACCCTCCTAGTGACAGAGTTTTTCCTAGTATCCAACCTAAACCTCCCTTGCTGCAACTTGAGACCATTGGTCCTTGTTCTATCATCTGTCACCGCTGAGAATAGTCTAGCTCCATCCTCTGTGGAACCACCTTTCAGGGAGTAAAGGGCTGTTATCAAATCTCCTCTCTGTCTTCTCTTCTGCAAACTAAATTAACGCAGTTTCCTCGGACTTTCCTCCAGAAAGCCTTGCTAAAGTCCAGGTATATTATGTCTGTTGCTTTCCCTGCATCCACAGAGCCAGTCATCTCATCATAGAAGGCAATTAGGTTGTTCAGGCATGATTTGCCCCTGGTGAATCCATGCTGACTGTATATTAGCCCTTTTACAATCATCCAGGACCTCCCCCTACCACCACAAGTTTTCAAAAATAATGGCTAGTGGCTCTGCAGTCACATCAGCCAACTCCTTCAGCACCCTAGGATGCATTGCATCTAGCCTCACAGATTTGTATAGTTCCAGTTTTTCTAAATAGTCCCTAACCTGTTCTTTTACCACTGAGGACTGCTCACCTTCTCCCCAAACTTTACTGCCCAGTACAGTAGTCTGGGAGCTGACCTTGCCTGTGACAACTAGGGTAAAAAAGGCGGTGAGTACTTCAGCCTTTTCCTCATCATCTGTCACTAGATTGCCTCCCCTCTTCAGTAAGGGACCCACACTTTCCTTGACCTTCCTCTTGTTGCTAACATACTTGTAGAAACCCTTTTTGTTGCCCTTCACATCCCTTGCTAGAGGCAACTCCAGTTGCACTTTCACCTTCCTGATCACGTCCCTGAACGCCTGAGCAATATTCTTATACTCCTCCCAAGTTGTTTGTCCAAGCTTCCACTTCTTGTAAGTTTCCTTTTTGTGTTTGAGCTCCCCAACGAGTCCTTTGCTAAGCCAAGCTGGTTGCTTGCCACATTTGCTATTCTTCCTGCATATTGGGATGGCTTGTTCCTGTGCCCTCAGTAAGGTTTCTTTAAAATACAACCAGCTCTCCTGGACTCCTTTCCCCCCCAGACTGGCCTCCTAAGGGATTCTGCCCATCAGTTCCCTGAGGGAGTTGAAGTCTGCTTTTCTGCAGTCCAGGCTCCACACTCTGCTGCTCTCCTTTCTTCTTTTTGTCAGGATCCTAAACTCAGTCATCTTGTGGTCACTGCTGCTGAACTTGCCATCCACTACTACATCCCCCACCAGTTCTTCCCTGCTTGTGAACACTAGCTCAAGAAGAGCATGGCCCCTAGTTGATCTCTCCAACACTTGCACCAGGAAGCTGTCTCCAATCCTGTCCAAAAACTTCCTGGATTACCAGAACACCACTGTATTGCCCTCCCAGCAGATGTCAGGGTGATTTGAAGTCCCCCATGAGAACCAGGGCCTGTGATCTGGACACTTTGGCTAGTTATCTGAAGAGCATCTCATCTACCTCATCCTCCTGGTCTGGTGGTCTATACAAGACACCCACCATGACGTTACCCTTGTTACTCTCCCCTCTAAACTTAACTCAGACTTTCAAGTAGCCAATCTCCAGTTTCATACTGGAACTCTGAGCAGTTATTCAGCTCTTTCACATACATTGCAATTCCTCCTTCTCTTCTTCCTTGCCTGTCCTTCCTCAACAATTTGTATCCATGCATGACAGCGCCCCAGTCACGTGAACTATCCCACCACATCTCTGGTATTCCGATCACCACATATTTCCTTGACTGTGCGAGGTCATCCAGTTCTTCCTGCTTTGTTTCCAAGGCCCCATGCATTTGTCTATACACACCTGAGGTGGCTACCCAATTGCCCTACTTTCTCAGGAAGAATGAGGCTTCCCCTGTTGCCCCCTCCTGCTTCTGCTTTTTCCAGGTCCCCCACTTCCCCATTTACGTCAGGGATTTGTTCTCTACCCTCCAGTGAGCCTCGTTTAAACCCCCCCTCACTAGGTTAGCAAGCATGTGCAAAGATGCCCTTCTCCCTCTTCGTCAGGTGGATCCCGCCTTTCCTAGTAATCCTTTTTCTTAGAACAACATCCCATGATTAAAGAAACTGAGTCCCTGCTGCAATTAACACTTAGAAGTTATGGATTTTAGGCCCCTAGCAGACATTACATTTAAGACACAGTTAGTTTGTTAATCTGTCTTGTAATACAACAATTATAATACAGATGTATAATATTTTTGTGCCTGGTTTCCATCATACCTTAAATTGAATGTATGGCAGGGATAGGAACACACTGGGGTCCTGGCTGGATCCAGGACCACACTGGGGCTTGAACCAGCCCCCATGCAGTCTCTGCCAGCTGAGATCAGCTGATTGCTGGCCAGACCTGGGACTGCACCAGATTCCAACTGACTCTGGTATGGTCCCTGCCAGCCAACAACCAACCAAGTAGCTGATCGTCAGCTAGATCAGGACTGCACCAAAACTCCAAACAGTTATGGTGCAATCCCGGCAATCTCATGATGCAGCTGATTGTTGCCAGCTCCCTCGGCTTGCACCGGGTCCAGTTCAAGCCCCACTGCAGTCCTGGAGACAGGTGGCAGTCAGCTGGCTGCTATGCACCCCAGCCCCAGCATCCCTTTGCACTGGCAAATAGGATGCTATTGGGAACTAATCCTTGATCCCAAAATCATGCGTCTCACCATACACATATGGCCTGGCAGGAAGTATGATTGTTGAGATTGAAGATAAGATCCCATTGAGCCTTTAAATTAATGTCTGTCAGTGGCCTTAGTTATGTTAGTGGTAATGTTAAGTTTAAAACTCAACTAGAAAGTTTGAAATGATACATCTTTACCCAAAAATGAACTCACTTTTTGAAACAAGTTTTTTAACAGATATCTCTAACATGTATTTTGGTGGGAGGTGATGGAAGAGCACTGCTGCCAACTGTTCTGTCTCTTGGCATTCTCAGAATTTCCCTTACAAGAGGCCAACTTCCACTTGAGCCTGACCTCACTTGTTCAGCATAAGGAAATGCAACACGCTCCTTAGGCACTGCCAAGCTCCATGTGCATGGTGCCAGTAGAACACTGGCAGGCTCTTCAGGGAACTTATTACAAAATCCTGTTGCATGTGCTTTTTAAAAATCTCTGCAAACTGGACAAATTATAGCTAGATTACTCAAAGACATGTAGGGCCTTCAGGTAGATCTTACCAAATTTCACCACTTATAATGGCCTACCAAACTAAAGCTATTTTAAGAAATGTCCATGAGTTGTCCCCTTCCCCTCAGAATGCGTGTGTGTGTTTTTTCCTGTGTTCAAATTAATGAACCAATTTCACTGACATGTTTAAAAACAATTTGCTTCCTGACTACTGAATCTGTCAACTTTCCACTCCAGAAGTTTTTTATGTAGCTGCAAATGTTTGGCACAAAATCAATGGTATTCACCTCTGCTATCTGTGTCAGTATATCCTCTGCCTAAAATTGCAGCAACGGTCTGCTCTGAGTAGGGAATCCAAGGGATAAGCAAAAACTCATGGTCTGGGTGGGCTGCTCTCAGTAATAAATAACACTTTACTTTGTGTTGGCGCATGACCATGACTATGTGGAGCTGATTCTGTGTATGCATATGTCTGGGTTGTATTTGTGCAAATGAAGATTTATATGCAGGGTGATCATATGTCACACTTTTTGCTGGAACAGTCCTGTTCTAAACACCTGTTCCAAGCGTATCAGCTTTATTCAAATAAACACTTTTGTCCCATCTGTAGAAAGCTCTTCTCTCCAGCCAGGGGAAGTGATAGAGGGCGGTGGATCCTCCAGCATTCCATAATACTCCACTCTGCCACCCTTCTCCCCAGTACACTTAGCTGAGACTGAGCTTGGAGATAGCTGAGCATGTTTCAGAATGCCAGAGGACCTTTGAAAAGGAAAGACTTGGGTAATCCTTCCCAACACATCAGCTTGTCCATTTTGAGAAATATGATTGCCTCATTTATATGGGAATGTAGCTAGTACATACAAGGAGGTGATACCCTTGTAATAAACTTAACATGCATAGTTTGGTGCCATCTCTGCCTCCTGCTGATTTCATTTAATCCAATTGCTCTGGGGCCATTTCTAATGCCAAAGAAGGTACCTTACAACACTTACTCCAAAGCAAATGCCATTTATCCTAGCTATAGTTTTCACTACAAGGATACATGGCTGAATATTCTTTTCCTCTCCTCTCCATCTCTAGTATGGAATGCTGCTGTATCAGAACTACAGAATCCCCCAGCAGAGAAAAGCTCTGATTCCACACTTCTCCACTCCAGTGGTAAGTCCCGAAGTTTACTTTCAAATACGTGATTATTTGACATCTTTCCCTCCATTACCTTTCTCATAGTTTACTTTATAAGTCTGCTTTTTAGAACCAGAACACTGAACTGCTCACAAGATCCATAAGCAGAAACTTAGATTGTTTTTGCCTTTCTGTAAGGTCATTGTGGCATAGGTTTCCCAGTTTCCAGACATGTTTAAATATATCTGCAGCTTCTCACAATGCTTTTCAATCTGTTAAACAACTTGGGTTACTCCTATTCTGAACTGCAGTTGCGCAAGAGGAACAAGGAAAGAAAGAAAGAAAAGGAAAAATACCAAAAAAAAACCCCATTAGTGCCTCTTCAGTCTCCCCCCCTGCTTCCAAGATGCCTGTTTTGTAATTGATTTTTTGTACGCACCTCTCTTCACTGTAAAACTGAATTCCTCATTAGTCATAATAGCTTTGAAAGAGAGACGAGTGACTTTACCTTCATGGCTTTGTCCAATGACAAAATTACAATGCTTCATATTTTTTGACTCTGTGTACTTCTTGGGCAGTTGTTGATGGTGTGTAGTGCCACACAGCCCATTACTGCTGTGGTCATAAATCAGAATCTTCACTCTAAATTGAAAAAAGGTAGCTGAAGGTTCATGGCCATAGCTAACTGTGAATGGAATTGCTAGACCTTCTGAGGAAGCACTTGCACAAAAGGATAAGAGAATCAGGCATTTGAAGAGGGGTATGGCTTTGATCTTACTCTCAGTTATATTGGATCCTCATTACAAATATTCGATGTTCAAAGAATCAGGAATTACAGTAGGGCACTGTTAAATGTGAAAACATCCTCTTGAAACTGGGACAGGAGTTGGATGGCAGGTGCTCTCAAACTGCATCTTTTTTCCCCCTTCTGTCCTTCCCTGCATTTTGAAACAAGTGAAAATTCTTTTTTCAGAGAAGCGTATCCGAAAACTCGCTAGTAGCAATGGATTTTTCGGGACAAATAGGAAGAGTTATTGAAAATCCTGCAGAAGCACAGTGTGCCGCCTTAGAAGAAGGACATGCTTGGAGGGTAACTGCTTTGTCGTCTTTGTTTTCCACTTGAACACACAGTGCACTATGAAGTTAGTACAGCGGGTGGTTGCAATCTAGCTTAGCTCCAACTTGAAACATTCAAGCTGCAAGCATGCAGAGTTAAAAGAGTCAGTTTCAATCTTTAGCAAACCTGTCTCATTCACACCAACCTTCTGTCACTGCTTCTCTGTCCCTCACTAGTGTCCAGAGGAAGGTTGAGGGGGAGAGCAGACTCACCAGAACTTTACTGCCAGTTTGCAAAACCACTCTCTGAGGAGGAATATGTCAGATTTTATGCTTCCCCCCATGGAAGAGGCTGGGGCTCTGACTAATGGCTTGCTCCCAGTAAGTTTAATTGCAGAATATACAAGAGTCAGGACCTCTTGAAATGAAAACCAATGTAACTTGTTTGTAGTGTTGTGTGGACAGACACTTGCAGTACAGGTTTTCCCACAGTCTCGTCTGCTAGGGACCTGAAGTCATTACCTGAAGCACTAGGTGGTGCTTTCTGTCTGGGAGATGCACCCTGCTCTGCTGAGTGCATAGTGCTCTCTGACTGAGCAGAAGCAGACCAGATAGGTTTTTGTTTGCTTTTTTTCTGTCATTGGGCTTTCAGGCATTAAGAACTGGCTTTTATATTAAGCCACCAGAAACGTGCTATGGCTTATAGAATACCACCTCCCTCCCCAGATCTGCATCTCTTTTTTTTCTTTTCCTTGCATTAGATTTACCCTATCTCTATTTCTTATATATTGAATCTGTGTGCATGTGCTCTGATTCTGTAATGCCAAGGTTTCGTGCCATATTTAATGGTAACTCATTTCTTCTGTAGAAACGCAGCACAAGAATGAACATCTTAGGTAGCCAAAGTCCACTCCATCCTTCCACACTGAGCACAGGTAAATTATGTTATGTAGTAATGAGATGGTGTAGGGGGGAAGAGAGGCGGGTGTTGCAAGGGGTTAAATGAAATAATGTTCTGCATTCTCAGTTTTTACCGATTTTTTTTTTTTGGTAAAGTCATTTGGTTTTTACTGATTTATACCTGTTTTTCAGTTCAAATCCCTGTTAACCAGCATGAGTGGGGAATGACCCATTCCCCACTCATGTTGGTTAACAGGAATTTGAACTAAAAAAACAGGTGGTGCCAGTAAGCTAAAAGTGATGCTGTGCCAGTTACCTGAGAAACAGGTTTCCGGCCAGGGTTGAGGGAGTGGTGGTGGCAGCAGCCGCCTGTGGAGCAGGGGGGGTGAGGGGGTGGTGGTGGTCAGGGAGAGTGGCTGGAGCTGCTGCCTGTGGGTGCGGGGCTCCTGGCTCTGGCTCCAGGCGGGGTGGGACGGGCCACGGAAATCACCCCCAGGGCATGCAGGTCCCACGTGCACTCCAGCGCCTCTGGCTGCAGCCCTGCCCTGGGAGCTGTGAGCCCCAAGCCCTGCTGGGGGGGTGCAGGCGGGAGAGCCCGGCTTTGCTCCCAGTGGCAGGGGGCTTCCCCTGGGTGCTCAGCATGGGTGGCATCAGCCTCTTCCCTGTGCTTGGGGCAGGTGGCCATCTGCTGTTGTCCGATGTGCAGATCTGGGGGCACCCGCCCCCCGGGAAGAGCCCAGAACAGCCTTCCAGCCCCTGGAGGGCCCGTAGTAACAAGGGCTGTGCCCTACA